AAATCGCCTATGTTACTCACTGACAACATAGCGTGAAGGAATTTTTGAAATTCGCCCAGTAGTTTTTGAGTTATTTCATTACAAACAAACAAAAAAAGTTTACCTCTTTATAATATTAGTATAGACTTACTATTGCTCGCGACTTCGCCCGCGTCATATGACATAAAAAAGCAAGCCTATGTTACTCTCTGATAACGTAGCTTTCTATTAGTAAAATAACTTTTGAAATCGGCCCAGTAGTTTTTGAGTTATTTCAATATATATAAAAATACAAATCTTTCCTCTTTATATTATTAGTATGGACTAGCAAGCAGTCCCAGTTTTAATCAGGTTTTACGGAAATAAAAGCTTCGAGTTTGGAGTTGTGCGATAGAACTTTACTATTCGATCTATTTTTGTAATGGTTTTTAAATGCATATATATATTATTAGCTTTCGCCCGCGACTCCATCTGCGTATAATTAAAAAAACAAAAGAGTTGTTAGAGTTTGTAGCCTAAACAGCTGAATGGATTTCGATGGAATTTTGCAAAGACGTAGAGGATAGTCTGGAAGAACACTTAGGCTACTCAGTTTTGTATTTTTAATTCCACGCGGACGGAGTCGAAGGCAAAAGCTAGTTTATAATGTAGATATTAAGATTTGTAAATTATGAAATTCCACCGTCGCTACACCCTTTGTATTGTCGTTTTAGTGTTATTAAGGGTAAAATAAATAATTTTGTACGAGTAATCAGAACCAGTAACAATGAGAACTTTTTTAAAACACCGGAGTAAAATTATCTCACAATGTAAAACACATGGAGAAAAAAAATATGTATTTTGTTTAGCTACCAAATAATATATAATTACACTAGCTTTCGCCCGCGAATCCGTTCGCGTGGAAATTAAAGAATCAAAATTGTGTAGCCTATGTGTTCTTCCACACTATTCTCACCGTCTATGCCAAATTTCATCGAGATCTGTTCAGTGGTTTAGGCTACAAACTCTAACAAACATCCATTCATCTAAACTTTCGCATTTATAATATTAGTTAGACTACATACACTACATACCGATGTATCACGTGCCGCACTAAAGAGGTACAGAGTACAAAAAAGTTTATAAAAGAAAAACAATTAAATGGTTAATTCAGTCGGGAGCTGACCGATGTTTATATGAGCAGCCAGTAATTAGTGATGTGCTGTAGGCGTATTTGTTTACCTGATGACATTTCCGGCGCACGTGCTCCGAAACACGAGCCCAGCGAGCGTCACCACTAAACGCTGCTAGGGATGTTACTGTGATGTATTATCGATATCGATAGAATAAGTTTGTGGATACGGGACAAACTAGTGCTTATTCTCTATCCCATCCGTCGTTAAATGATGTAGTTAGCAGCACGCTAGTTAAGAAAGGTCTAAGTTAATATTTACTTATCGTGTTATTTTTTTTACTTGGCAGTGATTACAGGCTGGAAATTGCATCACAATGGGTAAGTCTTTTTATTTTTTTACATGATTTTCAACATGATCAGTATTTTTATGTCTAAAAGTAGATTGAAATACTCTTTGTCTCTTTTTCCCTCTTGATTTTTGGTAAACCGTAATTATGGTTATATGTGGAGAATTAAATTATTATATTAAAACAAAGTAACTTATATGTAACTTTAGTTAAAATGAAACACGAATTTCGATAATCGATACAATTTTATCGATAACGGGTACATTTCTTTGCATCCCAATGAGAGGATGGGCGGTAATGCAATGTTTAGAGCACTAACGCATCGACAATCGGTAATTGTCGACTCATCACTTTGGCCCTTTTAAAGCGAACCAATAGAATTAAAATAAACGTTTCCTTCGAACTTTGATTGCAGGTATATTGACGGCTTCTTAGGATATTGAGTATATTTAGATCTTTAAAGAAGGGTTTCTTATCTTCCGATTTATCGATTGTATTGAAAATTTTAGCAAAAATTATTGCTTGGTTTTATTATGCGAACCTTATCTAAGTAAGAGTTTTAGTTACAATTAACAATGCGAGTAAAATTATATACAAAGTATACGAAGAAACGTCACAATTTCGTTAGTGCAAATTTGGACCACCCGTTACGCTATTTTAACACCTCGAAATTAAAAAAAAACGTCTATAATATATCTATCCATGTCAGCTACCCTGCAGTGAAATTTCAGCTTTAAAAAGCTACTTTGTAGCTGAGTAACAAGGCTATATTTTCACGTGGACAAGTCAGGGGGTAAAGCTTAAATGTAAATAAGACGGGAGTTTCTGTCCATTGCATTGAGATTCCAATTGCAGAGATCCCGTCCCTTCCTTTGCAGATCTTAGGATTTCCTTGTCAGGTATGTAGAAATAAAGATTTAGTTTTATAAAATCGATACGTCACTGGTGTTTAATTCATCTCCCCTCGTACATTAAAATATCTTTTCATTCCTCAAGTCGCTCTCTAGGATTGTCACCGTAATGCTATTTGTGAGTAGTTGTGTTAGTCTTTCTTCTAGAAGGTATCTTTTGAAGATATCTCGTCAGAAAAAGGCTCCAAATTACGTAGTTTACATTAATTTTATTATATTCAGCCGTAAATATCAGGATGTTTTTAGAGGAACGTTTACGATATCATTGGAATAGCGATATACAAGGAAATGTAAAACGGATCACATAAATCAATATTTATTGTTGGACGAAAACTTTAAGACCATGATTTAGTTTATATTTGTATTTAATAGTATTTATTTATCTTATAAACAGTAACATAATCGTATGCACTTCTATTATTATTAAGTTACAACTTAATTATAGATCTTTCTTGTCATATTTATGGTCCTTCGAGCCGACTTAGAGCGCGCACAATTTTTTCTAAACTGTCCCACAACTGTTTAGCCGCGTTTTGATTTCTATGAGCTTTATGTGCGCGCACTATTTTTTTTTTATATAATAAAAGGTGGCAAACGAGCAAGCGGCCACCTGAATCCACCAATGTAAAGCGACCGCTGCCCATAAACATCCGCAATTGCAGATGCGTTGCCTACCCTTCATTGACGGAGGAGACGCACAGAGGACATTTCCCTATGCGTCTTCTCCACCGTCAAATCCACTTTTCCTTCCCATCCCTTTCTCTTAAGAAAGGTCGGAAAGGTAAAGGGACTAAAATTAGTCCTTGGTTGAATTAGCGGCGAAACAATCGACAATCGCACAACAGTTGTGCGATAGTTTAGTCAAAAGACGCCAGTTCTTAATTTTATTTTGCACTGTCACATCAAATAATACTTCATATTCAAAGCGTAATTCTTAAAATGTAAAACAGCTCTTTTCAAAGCTATCGGGACGTGCCGAAAGTGTAACAGCATTGAGTCTTAGAAAATTCTTCGCCCGGAAGTCGAAGCTTGGAATTTTCATAATGTTGCACCGCTCCTTCGTTCACTATTCATATGGTAATTTTATTTGAGATTACTTCGTATAGTATGGAAAAGGATCCCAGAATCTATTCTATTGTCCCCTGTAGCAACTTAGTTTCAAAACTATCTTTTTTAAAACTCTACTATGGTAACATTAATACTTAAGTAGTTATATTGTTTATATGTTTATATTATACAGCAGTAATAAACAAAATCTATCTCGTTACCATTAAATCTTCAAACGTAGATATGAGGAAATAAAAAAGCCAATTCTATACTTTGTAGACTGCTCTCCGCTCCTCGTGTTAGCATTTTAGGTGATTTCGAGAACATTCTTCGAGTCTAGCATCGTCTTGGATTGCTTTTATATCGATTAGTACATTACCTACAAAGAGGAAAAACCGTTAATATTTGCACTGCATTTATGTATAACGTCTGTGTGGTAGAAAATATAGCGGAAACCGCACAATTCAGGATTGCTTGCAATCAAGATGGTGTGTAACAGGGGTGGCAAACCTTTATCAACAAAGTGCCATTTTTAAAGAATTCTTTAATGTCTTAGACGTGCTATCAAGTAATTTTGACTTGTTACGTCAATTCCATGTTGCATGGTAATGACATCGCGTTCGCATTTTATATAATACCTACTTCATACTTTTTCGTAGTGTTTTTATGAACTAACCTAGAATATATTATGGTCAAAAAACTATAAAATTTGCGGGAGTACAGTTATGTAATACTTTACCTAGACTTATCAGAGATGAAAATAAAATGTCGATATTTCAAATTAAATTTAAAAAAAAGTTGTAGAGGCAATAAAAACTTAATGAATATGATAACATACTAGACTGCTGATGTAAAATGTAAACACCAAAAAAAAAAATTCTCGTCGAATGAATTGTATATTCTTGAGAGGATATAAATATCTTAAACCACATCATCGACGTGCCCAAAATATTATCTCATGTGCCATTTATAGCACGCGTGCCAGTTGTTTGTCACCCCTGGTGATTAGTATGTGATAGGTCTGTAGACTTGTTCGATAAAACTAAAGAACGGAACTGTACTAAATAGAGTTGAATGATTTGTTTTCTACTAGTATAGGTATATTATTCAAACACATCACCGTAACTCATCAACATGTTGCTAGGAATCTTACTAATTACTATTTCTTACTTTTATAAATGCGAAAGTTTCAATAGATGGATACTCTGAAAAAAAAATAGGCTAACGTTTTAATTTCACGCGGACAGAGTCCCGGGCGAAATCTAGTGTTTCAATAAAACAATCTAACATTTTCGTATATTGCACTTTTATTTAAAATTTTGAATTAACTAATCACAAACATATTTACAAACGTGATCAACTAAATTACGATATAATCTAAAAATTGTTAAAACATTATTATTTACAACAAAATAAACAACTAACATTAACAATTACACTATCTAATTTCAACTTGTCTTTGGTATTAGATTTTTGGTTTACAATTTTAATCTTTGGTTTAAAAATAAACAATCTCTATTTTGCTACTTTAAACATTCCATAACTTTTGTTATCTACATTTAACAATTATTCAAAAAGAATTCATTTTAAATTAACGCACTATTTTAGAAAACAGACTTGAATATAAATTACTACGAAATTCAAATTTGAAAAAGGAACATATTCTTTTTAAATTAATTCTCTATTTCAATATTACTGGCCATGCTTTCATTGCTGTTTTCGTCATCGATATGCATTTTGCCTTTATCGATTTTCTCTTTAGTCTTCGTTGCGTTTTCTCTAAAATCCTTTACATCAATACTCGATTCTCCTTGATTTCTATCCAAATCGCAAGGCACTGGCATACCGAAGGAAGAATGACTAGGATAGTACATATACGATAAGGGTATATTGGGATAATTGACACCTAAATGGGGTCCATACAAAGATTGCAAAACCGCTTGGTTATACGATTCTTGTAAAAGTGCTTTATATTCCGGATTCTTAGCAAAATCGACACCATAAACACCCGCAAAATGTTTCAATAAAGGCGAACCTTCTAGAAGATTCGGTGGTGTGAAAGGATTCAGTGTTTTACCAATTATAGGTGTTTGGTATTGTTTTAAATCAGGTATTGTTGGTTGTCCGTTGTTATTGACTAATACTTTAACTGCTACTTTTCTAGCATGGTTAGCTGCTGCAGCAGCGGCAGCTAGCATTCCGCTCTCTTGCATCTGAATTTGTTTTCTTTTAGTTTTATACCGTCGGTTTTGAAACCATATTTTCACTTGGGTTTCGGTGAGTTTTAGACTGACAGCTAAGTCGGCGCGTTCGGGACCTGATAGATATCTTTGTTGGCTGAACCGTCTCTCGAGTTCGTATACTTGAGCGTGTGAGAATGCCGCTCTCGATCGCTTCTTTCGTCCACCGTTTTGAGTGTATTCGTTGATGTTATAATTTGATGAGTGTAGAGTGTCGGGTGGGGGAGGTGTGGTGCACTTTCGTGGCTCGTAATGTAAGTTGAAAGGCTTGTAGCCGATGTCTGAGTTTGGTGAGGAATTGCTGCGACGTATCGGAGAGCCGGTGTTTGATGATCGTGAATCGTAGTCATCTGAAACAATAGAAAAATTGACTTGAAATATAACATATCTTACTAATATACGAGTATAATATCTTACTAATGCTGAACGGACATTGTTGAAATTTGGCATAGCTGTTACTGTTACTTTTGTTTATTAATTCCTCGCGCACGGAGACGTGGGAAAAAGCAAGTCTAATACAAATTATTAAAGTTATCGATGTCTGTTGCCACAGAATCTGAAGTAAATGTTTTAGGCAGCTTAAATAACAAAGTTTCTTAATTAAAAATGTACGATTAAAGCGTGCACACCTTTTTACTAAACTATCCCAAAACTATTGTGTAGTCGATTCTTTCATAGGAAATTCAACAGTTTAGTTGCATAACTAAAATTTGAGTAGTGTCACCTTCATATATTTACCCATAGGAATCAAAGCGAGACTAAACAGTTTTGCAATAGTTTATAGATATATAATTCCTCTTGTAATTTGCAAATTTTCATGATTCAAAGGTAATTGAAATTTAATATCAGGCAAATAAATTCAGAATGCTCTAGAAGCTAAATTATAACAAAAGAGATACGAAGGTCGTCAAATAAAGTTAATATTTAATGACAAATGTATTCAATGTAGTCAGCCAGTCACACGCAATTCCCTTATAAAGGAGCATACACAATGGATCCATTACATAAATTGTCGCCAGTCATTAGTCAGTCGAAACTTTTTGAATAGATATAATAATGTTTTCGCGTGTGCGCAATCTTTTGTTAGAGTTTTGTGGATTTCACGACACGTTGGTATTAGTGTAATGCTTAGTTAATCTAACTATACTAATATTATAAAGATTTTTTGATTTTTTTATGATATGGGTTTTGGATTTTTGTATGTATTCGATTCACGTAAAAACTACTGGGCTGATTTTAGAAATTATTTCACCATTAGATAGGTAATTTGTCGGTTAGTAACATAGGTTAGTTTTATTAATTTCACGCGGGCGAAGTCGCGAGCAACAGCTAACCTATAAGTTTATTTATTTATTTTACATTTACGTGACACAAAGCGGCTAGCAACTCTGAAAGGTAAAGGAGTAAGTGTTCATCATTTTGCATGACCAAATTTTTATGATATTTAACAAAAAGAGGCTTGGTAGATAAGATAAGACAGGACAAATTTTATTGACAAAACGTTAGGAGGAAACAAAAAATGTTTTACTTTTAAAAATAAAGAGACGATGCGACAAGGTCTTTGGAGTCTTCAATTTATACCGTTCAAATATCAAGTCGGCAATTAACTTCTACAAAGCACTATAGAAAATTAACGAAATTCGTCCGACACGTGTCTATCGCACATTAGTAATTACTAAATTGAATGTTCGTATAGTGCGTAAGTGACGTGTCATAATGAGGGGTAGTGACGCAAGTGGCCGCGAGATGTCGCGCGCCGGCACCGCCAGTGTGTACGCGCCATTACATTTACATTGTTCGCGATTTGAATTTAGAATGAACCCTTAATGTAATGACATTTGAAGGACATTCGAAATTTGAAATTTTTTGGAAATCATAGTAATTACGCGCGCTAGAAAAAATGGCGGGAATGCAATTTAATTGCAATTTAGTAGTCGAAACTTAGGTTAAGGTCGAAAACCTACGTATTCACTACTTTTTCTAAGGTTCAAGATATATATGACCTATAGAAAAGTAGAATAAAAAAAAATCAAAATCGATTTAGCTGTTTCGAAAATTTTGTGATTGTACTGACATTTTAGAAAATTACTTTTTTTGAAATGTTTGTATTACTAGTATTTTCAGCTCTACCAGTATCTATTACAGGCTCTAACAGAGCCTTTTATTAAGTAATTTATTTGTGTCAACGTTTTTACACATTTAAACGCTTTTTCCTACTATTATCACATTTAATACCTACACGATCTATCATCCATTATTTATGTTACCAACAGGAAAGAATTATAAGTTTGTATGTAACAAGTAAACTTGAAAACTGGACAGAGTTCAAAATTCTTTTAACATTAAAAATGTTATCGCTACGTAACATATGCTGGTTTTTAATTCCGAGGGTACGAAGTCGTGGCAAAAACTAGTATTATAAAAATGTTAAGATAGATAGAAAAGCAATGAATTGTCATAGTTTAAATATGAATCAAACAGGAATTAAAATATTTAGATTTTTCTGCCAATATCATTTCCATATTCCTATCTCTGTTGCAAACGCTAGTTTAGATTTGATGATATAAGTTATAAATGCTATGAAATAAGCATTGAAATTTCTACACACCTGACAGTTCTGTGACCGGAAAATTATTCTTCCTTGACATATCCAAGGCACCATCGTCCCCGTAGTCTCTGTACGCGCTGCAGTCATCATAGTACTTCATACTCTTTGCCACAACCTCCTTTCTAAAACCTTCATCTTTGTAACTGGCTGGTTTCCCGAGAAAACTCACTTTGAAATTGGAATTAGAAAAATTCTCATAGTCACATTTTGTTTCGTTCTCTTTTGTTAATATGTCGTTGATAGAAAACGGTGTTGTTAAATTGCCAGTATCCATTTTAACTGTCTCGTGTAACACATCAACAACGCGTTTAGATACGTCCCACCGCAAAGCGTTCACTGAACGAATAAACTGATAGATTGCCCGGATTGCCTTAAGCTTTAGTAAGAGACGGCAATAGACAATGTGCGGTAAGTTAGCTTGTGTGGGAGTGAGATAGAACGGTAAGGGGCGTTCGAATTTTAAAAAAGCTTGCGAAGTGCGCATAGTGGGGATCGCTGAAGTTTTTCTTGAAGATGTTTACGTGAATGCCGTTTGATCGCTTTGCGTCGTTAGATAATTGTCGCATCGACTAATATTGGCCCGTGAGATTTAATTAATTTACTTACTACAATTTTTATTATTTCTAGGATTACCACTCCTAGCGAAATTGTGCAAATGAATTGTGTGAACTTATAATCTAAACGTACAAACCTACATTAGATTTCTAATTATAATTTCCGATTCAGTGAATGCTTAATTTCAATAAAAAAGATCTACTCTGATTTTTCTTGTCGTTGTCATAATCTGAGAGGTTTAGACAAATTGTCTATCCTTCCTTATAAAGTTGATCTGTCTAATAATTTTCAAATATAATGAAATGTGTTGAGGTAATAAAATAGAAATGTTAATAGAAATAGTATTAAATATCCTTGAGTGCCAATTCGTGACAACCCCACTATTCATTCGTTGCACGTCGCATCGTACTTCGACCGCGTTAACGCACCGCTTTAGTGGTAAGCACTACAAGTGTCTAGCCGTCCTTTTCTCTCTGGTACACAACCTGGCAGCCACAGTTCAACATCTCTTTCGCCCATTAGTTCCACATTTAAATAGACCAATCAGGTGAGCGCGGGCTTGCGGTCGACCAATAAAATTATTTCTGAGTGGAAATGTCAACATAAATTAAAGTTTTTTATCTGTGTCGGATAAGATTTTTTTTTAATTCACACCTGAGTCTTGAGAAAAGTTGGTTGCCACTATTTATGTATTTGATGTATGAAGATTATTTAGTTACGGACATTTATATAAATAAATTATTTTTTAATTGAGATTAAATGGCTGTTTTTTTTTTGTTGGAATATATGATAATCTGTAGTTATTATTTATTGTCATAGAATCAAAAATTAAATGAACCTTTATAAATCGGAGTTCTAAATATGTAAAACTAGCTTTTGCTCGCGACTCCGTCCACATGAAATTATAAATAAAAGTACCTAAACAAATCACGTGTTTTTTTTTCAGACTACATCCAAGCCAAATTTCATGGAGAATATTCAGCTGTTAAGGCTACAATTTCAAACATCCATCAATCATTTTAAAAATTAGTAAGAATTAACATAAAATATTTGATAATTGTACTCCGTAAATGTCCTTTGATTACTATAATAAAATAATAAATATTAAGAGACTATGATTCCTGTTAATCTATACTTCTATACTATTATAATAAAGCGTAAACACACACTTCTTTGTTGCCTAAGATGTCAGCAATTACACCATATTTTTGAATAATGCTTTTTCTAATAAAAAGCCCTAAACTTACGTCACGCTTTACGCTATATATTTTCACGCCATTCAACTTAGGGGGTATATATTCTGTATAAAAATCCTAATGTTGAGACCATAAGTTGCCGCCAACATAAAGGAAGCAAGGTTATTAGGGTGACGGTATTATGACATTTTCCGATTGATTTGACATCGACAAATGTAAACAATAAAATATATTTTTTTTTATAATTTCATGCGTATGAAGCCGCACGGGAAAAGCTAGTAAATAATAAAGCGTTTATTTTGTATTCAATAATGGCATTATTCTAGTAAGTTGATCACTGAGGGCTGATACGTTTCGTATTTCATTTAGATGTTCAATGAAGAGGCGGTATCGTATGCCATCGAGTGGATTGCCACAGCCTTAAGAATGTATAGATGCGTTCATTAAAAGTTAAATTTGACGCAACTTGTATCGGCTAACTTCTCCGTGACACAAATAATACCAAGTAATTGTATGCTAGATATGCTAAAGTGTAGCATATCTTATAATATATTTAGGTAGTTGTGTTTTGTTGATTTTAAATTATAAAAGAAACTTTTTAATAAGTTACTTGTTAACTAAAACTTCCTGTTACATGTCGAGATCCAACACCTTTTTATCACAAGTGCGATCCTCTTATGCTTTTATTTCTTAACTAGCTTCGGGCTGCGACTCCGTCTGCTTGAGACATAAAACACAAAAGTAAGTAGCCTATGTGTTCTTCCAGACTATCCTCTACATCTATGCAAAATTTTATTGACATCCGTTCAGCCGTTTAGGCTACAAACTCTAACAAATCTAAACTTTCGCATTTATAACATTATGTTATATCCACCATATATTACGTTTTATCTTTATTTGCTGTCTATAACTTTTTTATGTCTGTAGCCATCATAAGTGGCTATCGGTGAAGTTAAGTGGCGTGTTTGCGGTCGACGCTCTGACCCCAAGCGGTAAATCTACGATTATAACGATATCTATAAATAAGATATACATCGAGTTATATTTAATCGATTAGTAATCATTTTAAAATTAGTTTGTTTTTTCAACGACGCCCTTACGTAGAAGGGAAACATTATAATGCTATGTACACATTGGAAAAAATAAGACATGTAAGACAACCAATCAAAGCTAGGCATGCGTGTTTTTTTATACAATAAGGTGGCAAAACGAGCAAGCGGCCGCCTAAATCCGAAATTGTAGATGCGTTGTCTACCCTAAGTCAACGGAGAAGACGCAAATAAAGAGGATATTTCTCCTTTCTATGATTAAATTCTGATTGATTGAAGCTATCAGATAAGACGACCGATAGAGATGTATGGAAGTGCTCTTCCACTCTCTCTCTCACTCTGTGCTGCTGCACATACTGTGCCGACCCTCCGTAAGGATTAAGGGCAAGTGGATGATGAAGATTAGTTAGCTCTTACCAATAGTTTTCGCGATATTATACAGAGATTATATATAGCGAGCGAACAGTATTTTATTTCTTTTTTTTTGTAAAAAGATGTAAAAAGCCAATGATTTCTACAATCTTATTTGAGACAGTGTAATGTAGTTCATTGACTCGTGCTGTCCCTTTACGTCCAATGCCCTGGGCGGTCGCCCAACTGCGCCCAGGGCGATTGCCCAACTGCGCTCAGGGCGATTACTCAACAGCGCCTTAACCTAACGCTGGCACTAGTCTTTATTTATTTATTGTTGTATGTCATAACTTTGTACAGTTGTTATTTAATAAGAGAGCGGTTACCAGATATTACTAAAAAAGCCTATGAAGCCCTGCTTTAGTGTGCTAAAGTCAAAGGAGCTGCGTTGCTGTACAGAGGAGGGGATGTACAGAAAAGTGGTATTCCAACTTCCAACGTTCCTTCCCACCCATCTCATTGTATGAAAATTGTGTTGGAAACATTATATTTTGATGAGAAAAATTACTGTTGTTTTTATAATTGTTTACAAAGCGCATTTATTCTGAAATAAAAAAAACGAATAAAGAGAACGTATTGGATCACTAATCGATCATTAATCGATTTATTATTAACCGAATGATTTTCCGATCGCTTTACAATCAAAGCGGCGGCTGTTTACAAACGTAACAGAAGGAGCCACTTAACATGAAAGAGCTCATAACTAAAGTGCTATAGTGTAGACTTAAGAATATTTTAGACACGTCTTTTTTATTTGATGAGAAATGAGCAAACGGTCACCTGAATTTTCAAATTATGTAGTCATGTGTATTTGACGAATCCACACTCAATGTATATTTTTTACAGCATAAAATTGATTGTATTTCAATTTTCAAATAGTCAAAAATAAATCAAAGGTACCTAAATGCGAAAGTTTAGGTGGATGGATGTTTGTTTGAGTTTGAGGTCTAAACTGCTGCACGGATCTCGATAATTTGGCATAGATGTAGAGGATAGTCTGGAAGAACATATTGTCTACTTACTCTTGTGTTTTATTTAATTCTACGAAGACGAAACCGCGGGCGAAAGCTATTTAAAACTAACTAGCTTTCGCCCAAGACTCCGTTCGCGTGGAATTAAAAAAAAACTAAGTAGCCTATGTGTTCTTCCAGACCATACGCTACGTAATGCCAAATTACATCGAGACCCGTTCAGCCGTTTAGGCTACAAAGATAAATCCATCCATCTAAACTTACGCATTTATAACATTAGTAAGATGTTTGAACTATCTGTTTGTTGTTTCATGTCCTATGTTTTTTATTATTTTTCCTGTCTAAAATATGTTATGTCTACCTGAAGTAATATTGGTTTATAATTGTGTTAATGCGGTTTGGATTGAACGATTGAATTTAATTGTGTCTTGTACGACGAGCGACGTAACAAGGGCACGAGTTAAGGCCCTTGACCGCGTCAATGGGACTATTGCCAAATAAAATGGCCATCTTTTTGTTTTTTAAACTAAGGCAATTTATAAGTTCGATGTAAAAGTAACCATTTATTTTTATGTGTTTAAATCAGATAAGATTTGGGAGAAGATGAAATTTAAAAAAAAACAATATTTACAGTATGAGTGATGTCAATATCTCTTTCAAACCGTTCCAAAGTTAATTTTTAAATGGCTAATTTTGTATTAGTTAATGATGTTTAACATAGATGGCACTGTTTTCATTCTTAGTATTTAAATAACGCTACTGCACTGTAGATGGCGCTGATTTTAAAGACGAAGTCATTTTTTTTATTAGATTAAATAATAACTTTTGAACAGTTTTTATTAACTTTCAAATAATTCGGGTGTTTCTATTTTTTAGGGAAAACAATTATATAGTTCAGTAAAATAAAAAAAACATTGCTTAGACAACATAATGCTTTCGGACAATAGATGGCTCTGTCTTGAGAAATTATTTGGGAAACTGAACGACAGATGTCGTGAGTGAATTAGAAACAAGTAAATAATTTCTGTACGAGCTTTTAAATTGTAATTTATAAACTTATATGAAACATTTATATTTAGCAAAAACGTCACTTTTATTTAGTTTAACATGATTTTCAATTTGCCAAGTT